CGTAGTTCACTTTCTAGGTTTACCTAACCAGCTCTGCATTCAAGCGGAATCCCAGAAATCGCATTTGTCAGTGGGAACCTTGCCATCGAAACCTTATGAGGAACGCGCACACCTCAAGGTCGTTACCGTGCTGCTGCCCCACCTTCAAGAATACTGGAAGATTCAAACAGTAACCGAATAATCCTTGAGTTTGAACTGAGCCTGCTTCAACACACCTCTTATATGCCATAAATAACGGTATCTAGTGTGTAGCTTAACATTGTACACGATAATCATTTCTCATCATCAAAATGATCCAACCTGTAAACTGGTTTGTATTCATGTAACCTTTGTTGTATGAAATATCTATTATTATCATTATTATTAAGCCTCAGTGAGCGGAAGAATTTCTGGTATTCAGTTAGTCAGACGGTGCACTACCTATGTCTCGGACGCGACAGGACTCAACAGTGGGGTGTGCCGGTGTGACTGATGAGATTCAGTCTCTCACAAGTATGTGATTACTTAGTTTTTCACGGTACTTATGGGTTATTAACGTGCGCCACTTCTCTACTGTTGGCTAAGGTATGGCTCATGACCGGTGTAAGCAGAGGAAATTGGTTCCAGCCCTGTGTTATTAGGGGGTGGGGAGAGCCTAAACACCATGGGCGTCATGAAGAATGACTTTTAAAACAAATAGAACGATCCGACAAATTACACTTTTCCGAGATTCATGTTTTCGACTTTTTGGTTCACATAAGATTGTATACCCTTGTATTCACTGCTTTCAAAACTGGATATGATGAATTTATCTCTCTGTCCTGTCTTCTGGGATAACCTAAAATCCCTGTTTGTGAAAACTTTTCACAACGGAAGGGTTGGAGAAGACCTACAAATCCTGTAGCGTAGGTTGTAAGTGGGACAGTTTCGCATTTAATTATTGCCTTCATTCAACATCTTATCTAATGAATTTCTGTTGAATAACACTCGGAACTTTTTATAAATGACTTACTCAACACATCTCGCTCACCTAAATAGGCACCTATACCCGGACGCCGCTGGAAATAAAACCTTCCCGGGATACTTAAACTAGTAACATCTTTGGCTATTCTAAGGATGACATTTTGGAAATAACGTCTTAGCCAACAACCCCGTTGCTCACAAACGACGGGTCGACAGTTGGTACACTAGAGGGTAATAATTATGATATTTATTCCCGAACATACGGGCTCCCGCGGTTCTTACAGGTGTAACCAACTTCCTGTGTAAAATGCAGGCTTCTTTATGGCAGATAATATCATTCCCCATCTATTTAGTCACTACGAGGCGTAAGTGCTGCACATTAATGTGGTAAAACGTCCCATCAGAATAAGTATGCACGAATTCACAAGATGGGCGAGTAGAAGTGCTATCTTCTCATTAACAAAAACCGGGGTTTCCATTTGCTGCTTACGTGCACTGCCTGAGGGAAAATAGAGCTTGAAGCTGTTACTTCCATTGTTACACCTTATGTACTTTGGTTGAGGTTAATGCCAAAAAGTTTGTGAAGGAACATGCCCCTGTTGTTTGTTGTTTACTATGCCTTGCCGATATTGTAGCCCCGGATTTTAGTCATTCTCGTGCCAGTTCACATCAAAGCTTCATAATCTTGCTGAATAGTACGGCTGAGAGCTAATTATATACATTTCCGACTCAAGCATCGAAAAGTGTTGGTTTCTGTTATGCTTTCTAACGCCAATGGTTATATATGCCCAACGACATAATACGCAAGCTTAGCTGACAACTAAGTACGCAGAGCCGCCGACTGCAACCCCGGAAAGAATAGAGAGAAGCCCGGAGCTGGCAGATGGGAGAGTTTATTACTAAATAAATTCATCGTCCAGCGTTTTAAAACAGAAACGATCAATCCGAAACACGTGGATAAGTATACACATGAAATGACCTTGTCCGCAATTGGTGTGGGAATGACACGTTAAAATGTTCAGATCAATAACAATGTTTTATACAAAACTGAAGCATCACAACACCTCCCCTTTTTGAAAAAAATCAGAAACTTTAATACCTTCGCTTTTGGGGATCCAGTTGGACTGCACCGTTTGGGACCGCTTCCGACCCGTACATCCTGTGGGAAGGGGCTCATTGCTGAGTTTGGGCTCGAGCTTTTTCGTCGTCGTTGGCAAATTAAACGTATCCAGCAGAATATCAAGTGGCGTAACTGGGTTTTCTGGTTGTTTGGCTCTTCTGTGACGCATCTGATTCTTGTTTCTCCCATTTCTCCTGACCCACCATTATATCATACATCATACCCCCGGTCTTCCCATAACAACACCTTCCGTCCACATTCCCTGTCCTGGAGTGTAATCTCGTAAGTGGACGAAATCTCCTTTGTTAAAGTGTGATCCAACTGTTTATGTTGTCTGTGCACGACGTAGTGGTGGCATTGCGTGGTGTGGCGTACGTAGCCTCCTTCCCATTAAAACTTTTGCAAGAGACCTGTGGTCTGGTAGGGAGTCATTTGGCGTTGAGCGATAGATGAGTAGAAATTTTTTGTATAACACCCGTGTCTCCTCCTCCTTCTTTGGCTTCAGGGAGAGCTTGCCTAAAGGTATCAACAAATCTTTCTGCCTGGCCACTCGATTGCAGGTGGTACGGTGGTGTGCGAATGTGATGGATTGCATTGACACTGCAAAACTCCGCAAACTCGTGGGAGGTGTATTGTGACCCACTGTCGGAAACACAGATGTCGGGCCACCCGTGGCAGATGGAAATATTTTTAGAGTCGCCACTGTCCGGCGTGATGATACGGGCGATACTGCGACGATCTATGGCCACTTGGAATAAGCATCAACAAGAACCAGATAGTAGGCTTCATGTAATGGACCTGCGAAATCGATATGATTTCTAGACCAAGGTCGGTATGGCAGTAGCCGACTCTTTAGAGGAAGACGTGGGGGATTCTTAGCTGCCTTCTGACATGATGCGCAGTGACTGACAAATTCAGCTGTATCAGAGTCCATATTGAGCCAATAAGCGTAGCTTCTGGCTTTGGCTTCCATACGTTCTATTCCTGGATGACCAGTGTGAAACTGTTTTAGGAGTTGTGCCTGAGGAGACTGGGTATCACTACGCGTTCTCCGAGCATGAGACAGTTGCCAACGACACAGAGAAAATTCTCTTCTGCAGAACGGTTGTTTCAGGTCACAGGTGAACGATTTTCGCGGCCGTTTCGTCTGGACATAATGCAAGACTTCCTGAATGATATGATCCTTGCAGGATTTACTTTCCACTTCAATCGATGTGACGGGAAGTGCGCGGACGGCACAATCCAGTAGGCAAACTGCATAACCCTTTGTAGATACTAATGGGGTCTTTGTGTCTTCGTCAGGTGCAGGAACATTTGACGCTGCTTTCACTTTGTTGCATGTCATATTCGGTAGAAGGTCGGCGAGATTCAAACTCTCTAACCAGTCGAGATCCAGAAGAGCTAAATCTGCGTCAGACAGATAACAAATCACATTTATCGGAATATCATGAAAAGATACTGTACATGATAACTGACCTGTTAGTGGTAATTGGCCACCGCATGCACCAACAGCAGTTTGTACAGTCTTCTGGACAGGAGGTCGAACAATCTTCCACCATAGCTTCTTGGAAATAGTCGTTATGTCGGAAGCTGTGTCGATTTGTTATGGTTATTTATCTGGACGGTGATATATTTTCTCCGTGCTGGTGAATCTGCTTGAAAAGCAACAGTAAGACTAAGAGATTTGCCGACTGGTCGACACTTCTATCTTTGACGGTGACTGGATGATGACCTGTCTGTTCCTTGTAAACAAATAAATGTTTTGTTCTCGCGTTAAAAAAAGATTTTAACATGAGAGAAACCAGGTTACAGGCTCCATCACGTTGATAATCTCAAAATATCTGCAAGACTTGAGCCCTGAGTGGTGCCGACTGAATGTCATTAAACTCAATTGAAAACTGCATAAGGTCCTGCTAGTTATGAAGTGAACAGGGAAATATTACTTTACGGCGTGCATAGAGTGCTAAAGTTTAGATAATAGTAAATATTGTCGTCATTTAACAGGTTTAACATGAGGGATATCAGTTTACAAGCACCATCAAACTCATAATTTTTGAAAGTTTACGAACTGGTATCGGCGGCTGCTTGCAAAATCCGTCCTTGTGACTCACAGTATTACAATCTCTGCATTTTTGTGTTTATAAGGGCAAGATCTAATGAAATACGCTGCGCCACAATGCCAGCAGGGGGAAGGTGGGGTCTTCTCACGTTTCTCCTGGTATTGTATGGGCTTTTTGGATGAAGAACAGGAGACGAATTACCAGGGGTCTTTTGGCCAGAAAAGGGTTCAGAGGAATCAAATATCTGGCGAACCACATGCACTTCATGATCACCCTGGCGTCCGGAATGGACTAAACTTGTGTCCCGTTGTAGGTTCACCAATCGTTGATATCCAGCAGCAATATCATTCAACGTTAGTGTTGGTTCTTGCTCCAACCGATTTAGCAGTCTCATCCTAATATCTGCGAGACTTGGGTGATTGAAGGCTGCATATGAATATCTCCCAACCACAGCACCCGCAGTAAGACGCATCTCCCCTCCATATTATTACCAGTTATATTCATCTTTTCATATATACTTTTCACTTCTCTTTTTCTCATCCACTACTCATCCCGTTTCTCTCACTATTTAAGCAACGCTTAACACTTACTTGCAGGTGCCTACAACAACAGGAATTCCAAACGGTTGACTGATCTTATCATCAGCTCCATGATCCCCCCCCTAAACAAACCAAGTTACAATTTGCAAATAAAACACCTTCAAATCAACAAACACTACCTCCAGAGCTACAAGCAGGAAAATGCAGAGACTTCTGAGACCGTCGAAGGATTACGACCGAAGAAAAAGAACCAAACCTCAAGACTTAGAAGTGAGAGCCCAAAAACTACAAGTTTCCTCAACTCGCACTATTGTAGCTGGATGTTAGATGTTATTGGATGTTGGATCTCTTGCAACAACTTATAAACTGTTTAGCTGTTCAAGGTCATCCAAGCTGTTGGTAATTGTATTTGCTTGTAACGGAGGTAGTTATGGTAGTAAGCCCTCGCATAACAATAGTTCCCCAAGCTACTGGTGTGCAAATAAATTGTGAACTGACAAATCTAACTAACTTGAGTCCTTCTGGTGATGATTTTCGGTGGTATTTGAAGGTATAATCATCTAAACAAAGCATATGCATTCCAATATTCATTTCATTTTTCACAGGCAAAATGTGGAAATTGTGGGGAAGATACCCATGACTATATATATCTATGCAGCCTGGTTAGTTGGTGATGGTATTCATTTGCTTCTTAGGAAAGGACTCCAATACACGACAGTCGCGGGGATGCGAATTTGGTTGTCCGTTGCAAGTTTTGTAACCGCGTTTCGAATGCTGGTAAGCTGTTAGATCATCATCCTGGGAGTTTTATATTTGGGATAAGTTCAGAAAATTTCGTCCCAAGCAGTCATAATTTTAGGCTCATTCAGACTGGATTTAACAAGTTCAAGTTTGAAACATTAAGGGTTGCTTAACTGTTGACCCCCTAAGTTTTTTGTCTGATATGTCGATAGGCCATAACTGAAATGTGAAATAGATTCATAGTACTGTTAGGATTTTTTACTTAAATGCGGTTAACAATTATGAGTTATATCTGCAAACTTCGGAATACTGCATTTGCGAGACTACATTCTAAAGCACATTAAAAGCCATTGGTAAAATAGAAACTACATATTTCCACTAAAAATCTCAAACAGCCTTTAGAGGTATCCTGAAAACTAATGCAGACTAGCGTTTCTTCTTTAGTCCTTCCAGTGTGTCATTGGGATGTAAATGACTCCAATCCATATGGCATCGTATTAACTTTTTCCAAAGACTCTCAGCAGTCACTGGTTTGTCATCAGTCCGTCAGAAGTGTGTATTTCACGTCCTTTGAGCATCCAGCATCCCATAGGACCTTTTTGAAATTCTTTTTTGATAACTTCATAGGTATGTTTCAGCACCAAGTAATCGGTTGATTTCAGATATACAATAAGCATATTTACTCGTATGAAGTTGGGAGTAGTAAGAGCATAATGCAAGTCTGTTTGGTTTAAAATTACTGTGTGGTTTTATATTAGGTTATGCTGATAGTTTGAGAATTCTTTCTCGCGTTCTATATGAGTTTTACACTTGTATAGCGCGGTGCTTTGAATTTGCTCTTATGTCGATCAGAGAAGTAGGTAAGTATATCACTATCCACCAATCCAGTCTGCAGAGGGATCCCTAGTTAATGAATGAGCAACTGACTGACAAGATCAGTGTAGACCCTTGGACACAGGTACATCGGCTCAAGTTACTAAACTTCACAGTAGTTTAAAAAGCAGGTGGATAGGAAAGGAGTGATATCAAAGTAGACAAAGTCGTGTGAGAGAACTACCAGGTTCCGAATAAAGGTTCAGCCTTTAGATTTTCATGTGTGAATACATCTGTATACTATCAGCAGACCTTAACCACTAACTCCTTTCTTCTCGAGGACCCCAACCAGGCAGTTTACATCGTGTTACACGACTGAGAACAACAGTTATAGACTTCATCGACTGGACTGACCACCCTGAACCCTCTTCCAACCTAGTCCAACTTCCACTAATATGGCATGTCGAGGTAGGTGGTTACTTGGGATGGACAGTACGTGTCCAAGCTATCTCAGTCGACTAAGGTTCACAAATACATCAATGAACTTACATGTCTTACCCAGTACTCTTCTCCTGACCTCAACATAGCTCACACGGTTATCCCACCAAATGCGAACAATACTACGAAAACATGATCAAAACCAAGTAGTGACTTTATGTCTTTTATTTTAACAGCAATATTCTACAGTCGTACAACAGAACAGAACGGATAGCAGCTCAGCATACTCGTCCTTTAATGAATAGTCGTATATGTCGCCAGCTGGCGCAACAGGTGACAAGTCGGAAAATGCCCAACAGGCTTTCTGTACTGAGCTGAGATTTCGCTCGGGCATACACAGCTCCTCAAGTAAGTAAACCGGTCGACATATTCCACCACTTCACTCCCGATAATCACAGTGAGAGTACTTAGAACAGACCAGTCTCGTAGCATGATCTTACATTTGACAGGTGACAGCAAAACGCATTCCAGCCAAACATACTCCAATTTGTGCTTAACACTTTCAGAAGATCTTGCATTTCGTCACCGTCTGCACACCCCAAGTCAACCAGATGACCTCAACGGAGGAGGTCAATCCCTATGAAGTCAGACGTACCAAAGATTATTTCCATTGTTGTCTTTAAGGAAGTTGATTAGGAACAGTGACAGTGGACATCTTCAGCAAACACCACTAATTGCTGTCAATTCACATGACAACTCTCCATAATCCCTTACACGGTTGCGCGAGCTCGAGTAGAAAGCTTTGATTCACTTTATATACTTTCTCGGTACTCCCTTCACAGTCAGACACTAACACAACACCTCACAGTCAACAGAGTCAAATGTCATCTCCAGGTCAAGAAATATGGCAAGTGTCGGCCACTGGCCGGTAGGTATGGCTGTGCTCCAGGACCTGTAAGAGGGTTAAATATGATAAACGCATCCTCAACCATGTCTGAAACCTGCCTAGTTTCCTCTAGCTTGCTGTTCTCGGTCTGTAGTTAGGCCTTGGATAACTATAGAGCCCGACATCTCGAACACAATATTCGTCAACCTGATTATAGAGTTGTCAAAAAAAGACTTCTTTCCCTTCTTATAGACTGGGATGACCAATGACACCAAATATGATTCCTGTAGACTGCCAAGTGCCTCCATCACTCTAATTACCAATATCCTGTCTACATCTTTAAAAACTTCAGGTGGCAAACTGTCAGGACTTGATGCTTTACATCGTTTCAGGTTCAATACACCTTCTTCAACTTCAAGGAGAGTTGGAAGACCGACATGTATGTCCCATTCACGTTCAGGCTGGCTGGATGTTGGGCAACTGAAATGTAGCTGTGGAGCAGCTGAACTTAACTTGAAAGTGTCCCGCTAAACCTTCTAGCCATCTCTCCTGAGTCGCTATGAGCCTCTCATTGTTTTGCGTGGTGGTTCCATAGTGGTCAGAGCTAGCTGAAATCAGCTTCTTAGCATTAATCGTTTCAGATGACGTCGTGGAAATCCAATGATGTTTGCAAACCTACGGGTGAAGGTTACCAACTGTCTTTACTGCCATTTCTACAGTAGACATAATATCACGCCAGGTTTCCTCACAATGAGCATTTCTGTCGTGTTCAGATAAATGCTTTACTCTCTCTTTCCTAAATTCGGACTGGATGTTCTCATCTTCCAATCGACCATAGACAGGCTTTACCATCACCTGTCTTCTGCGACCAGAAAGACGCGAGCCCGTACGTGTGAGTAATCCGAGTCCAAACTGGTACTTCAAAAAGAGCAACAATCTTCTTCAACAATGGTTTATAGCAGTAGCATCTATCTGTGTTCATCGTTGGTTTGAAGTTGGTGGACGCCATGTGAGACACTATTTCCCCTAACGCTTGAAATTATTGCTGGCCAGAAACAAGTGATTGTCAGAACTGACGTGAAACATACGATCACCGTTGTCAGTTTGTTGGTATGAGATTCTATGAGTACCCTGGAGATGCCTTTCCCATTGGCTGAGGCTGGATGAAGGTTGCGGTGCTTTTCATGCAGGGGAAACACCTTACTGCTGTCATATCTCATCTAGCTAGCAGCAGTATGACTTCGCCACCAGTTCCCTTCACATTTTTTATTAACTTACACCACTGCGGTAACTGATTTTCATCTTACCTCTCTCCAAGAGACCTTTCTGGCATGGTATGACCTCGAGGGAACAAGCGTTCCGTGAGCATAGCTCGTTGGGTCTTTATGATATACAAGTACGACCACCATGTGAAGGTAGCAGCTATCGGTTGTGAAAATGGCTTACCAAAGAACGGTTTTGGTCAGAAGTAATCATAGATTAGTGTCTGCACTTCAAAATAATACTACTATTTAGCTAGATCACTTATGAACAGTCTTTAGTTTTATGCAGGCTACTGCAGAAAAAGTGCGGGGAACTCGAGATATGTGTGATGTAGAAGATTAGATTAGTGGCAGTAAATGTTCCGTATACCAGCTGGCCTTTCACATCGGAAGACAAACATGTGAACACGAGCGATTTCAGACTGAGCGCATTTGCATGTCTGTTTAGATTGCCTCACTATATCTGGATTACAAGACAAAATACTATGATGTGAAGAAAATGAAATCGGAGCAATGGAAACAGTTTTCGTGGATTTGTTGGTGCAAAAGTTGGTACACTTTGTAATAGAAATGAAACTCAATAGTCATATACTTCTTAAAATATTATTTGTGATCTTCACCTGTGTCAAGTTTTGACGACGCTCTGGGGTCAATGTATAAAGATGCGATTTGATTGTTTAGGGATCCATCTTTAAAGCAATGATCCTGAATCTAAGCTGTGATCCATCTATTTCGCCTACCAGTAGCATCATAAACCTTTATACAAGTTTGTCTCGACTGCAGTACACAAGCATCTCTATCAAGTCCATCTGAAGAGATATTCGAGTTACCTAAATTTCAGTATTTTGGCAAAAATTTGAAACCCATTAGTATGAACTGAGTGCCATAATCAGTCATAAGATTCAGCTCGTAATAACGTATTGATCCAGATTGCCATACCATAACCATTTCATTAAAGGTTGACGTTTGAAAATAAGAAAGTAGATAAGTAGAACCAGTAAAAGAATATGCCCAAGCAAATTTTCAGCTAAAGATAAAGTAGCCAATTTGGCAACAACAGGTTGATATTTGGTCAATTATCCGTAAAAGGTAATTTCAGCCGGAAAGCTAAAGTTCCTCACACACCAATGACTAGTTGCTATTTACTCCATGAATTAGTGTCATACCTAATCATTCTGTGGATTTCTTATTACTTGTGCCAATTGATTATCGGCAGTATTTACTGAATTCTATTGACATTGTTATTCAGGCATTAAAGTGCATTAGTGGATTCCGTGATCCTTTTATTCTTAATCCCTCTGTATGTCATACATGTCAATAATACAACATACATTATTTTTTCCGGTAGAACGGTGTATGTAAGAAGTCAGTTTTTTTTGTAGTATGAATAAATCGATACATTCTAGTTTTTATGTTTAATTTTATCTACTTGATCCTAACTCATCGTGGTATACCCAACATACTACTGTATTCCTGAAGCACAAGTAAATGATAGAGTATCATCAGAAAATCCACTGGTTCAAAAAAAAAAATGTGCACAAACAAATAAGCCAAGGTCCTAAATTATCTTAATAAATTTTTACATAGCATAGAGAATCAAATTTTACGGGCTTGTTTCAATAGAACCTTTCAGTATTTTTGTTTGACAGTGACTTTAGTTTGTAATCCCATACTTCTATAGTTATTTTCATTTTGGTTAGAGTTATGCAATTCAGTATTTTTGTGTGCATCATATCAGTTTATAATCAATGAACATGCTGCCATCCATTTATGTTTTAGATCTCGTCCCCGGTAGCATAACTCCATATTTACTGGAGGATTCTGGCCAGTTCAAAACTATTGTAAAATTCGACTGTCGCGGTTTAGAATTCACTGAATTTTCTCCACGTGTTGGTTGGTCAGCTTCAGGTGCTAATTCTGGTGTAGTCTTTGATGATATTTCGTTGATAGATGAGGTATGACAGTATGAATTTTCAATAACTAGTTATATATTTCCATTTGATTACTTTTAAAAATTGCTCTGGAATTTTGATTTAAACTCAAAAGTGTCGCTGTAAGCAAAGGTAGATGCGAAACGGGGGTTTTTGGCACATAATTGATCATGGGCTGGTAACTGATTTAAGTATCAAGTTCTATATCGATTAAGTTTGCAATATGAAAACAATTAAGTTATGTGACACTGGGGTGAACTGTACTTTGGGTATTTCGGTTTTCTATCGATTAACTTATGGATTTTAACCAAAGTTTCTCGGTACAAAAATGTAAGCACTTGAATGAATGGTTTTCTCACTCTTCATGGTAAGTGATACGGTAGATAGTAAGTACATTGGTTTTCTTGCGTTCTTCACTCCTACTCTTAATCAGTCGTACATGTCTAGTTCAATTTATATTCATATTGTTTTGAGTTCTGTTCAGTGTACAATCACTGTAAGCAAAAATGTGAGGTACAATTAATTCGTCAGTCTTCCCAATTATTACTTTGTTTGGATTTTGGAAATAGTTATAAATCCGATTACTGTCGATTAATTGAAGGTTTTTATCTCTTGGGCACTAGCAGCTCAACAACACGTTATGTCCTATCTATATTCGCCTTTTCACTCTACTGTCATTCAGACATCTCCCCCTACAATCAAATCAACTTAATTTAATAGTAGTAAGGACATACGTTATAAGGGTAGGTAAGAAATTTGTCGTATGGACAAGATTAAAGTGAATTTCTGTGTAGTTTTTATTGAAGTGGAAGATTCCTATACTGTACTAATCACCATGTACATTTTTGAACGCGTTAAATTTTCTTGTGCTAACGTATTACCGTGCAGTTTGTTGTTCTCGAGTAAGCATAAGGTATCTTTATTCTTTTTCACTCAGAAACCCCACAAAGTTTTGCTCAATAGTTGGTGGGCTACACCTGCTGTATGACGGGTAACGGTGCTTCTTAGCTCCCCAGATCTCGGTGGGTGGAGCATGGTTTGATCCCCTAACCCAATGGTTGAAAGTTGAGTACCCATACGAATGAACCACAGCTCCACTTTAATAGATAAGTATCTAAATCTGAGTTAGAGTATCTCAGCAGTATTTTGCATATCAGCCATGAACTAAGCTTTGCTACGTAGACTGTTCAGTGCTGACCTAATGAAACATAACATATCCTCCTCATCTCTGCCTCATCCTTTGCCTTCACTTCCTGATACTAATATCCAAGCCTCTTACGCCTTACCCAACCTCTCACTCTACAACCATTGTCAGTGATCACAGCCGTCGAAACCTCATTCGTAGTCTCCTAAGATCTCACCATCGATTTCATGTAGGAGCTTTCTATGCCCAAACTCTATGGCAAATCGGACAGCGAGCACCGATCGCCAAAACATTGCAATCCCGCACCATGTTATGTCTCTGAGACAGGACCGAGTGTGGTTATTAAACTGACCTCACTCAACCAGTACAATGAATCTTCAAAATTCACCTAACAAGTATCCGGAGAACTAATAGTTTCTTTTTGTGAACTCACTGGTGTACACATAGTATTGAATTGTATAGCAGAAAGTACATTTCTCGACTGGATATCAGTTAAAAGTCGTCTGTGTGCTATCCGACTGAATGGACCTGTGAGAACTGAGAAGGATCGTGAAACTAGGTGATGTCTATTTGTAGTCTCCGCCTACCCAACAACCGAGTGTAGCTTAGATGATGCAAAGGATGAATTCAATGAAAAGCCTTCAAGTTTGCTACAGAAAGCAAAACATTCTGATTTCGTCATAGTGACTTCAACGGTTAGGTAGGGAGGCTGAGCGGATGAAAAAAGCATCTTCAAGGTACTTATGGAATCTCATACCAACAAACTGACAACGGTGATCGTATGTTTCACGTCAGTTCTGACAATCACTTGTTTCTGGCCAGCAATAATTTCAAGCGTTAGGGGAAATAGTGTCTCACATGGCGTCCACCAACTTCAAACCAACGATGAACACAGATAGATGCTACTGCTATAAACCATTGTTGAAGAAGATTGTTGCTCTTTTTGAAGTACCAGTTTGGACTCGGATTACTCACACGTACGGGCTCGCGTCTTTCTGGTCGCAGAAGACAGGTGATGGTAAAGCCTGTCTATGGTCGATTGGAAGATGAGAACATCCAGTCCGAATTTAGGAAAGAGAGAGTAAAGCATTTATCTGAACACGACAGAAATGCTCATTGTGAGGAAACCTGGCGTGATATTATGTCTACTGTAGAAATGGCAGTAAAGACAGTTGGTAACCTTCACCCGTAGGTTTGCAAACATCATTGGATTTCCACGACGTCATCTGAAACGATTAATGCTAAGAAGCTGATTTCAGCTAGCTCTGACCACTATGGAACCACCACGCAAAACAATGAGAGGCTCATAGCGACTCAGGAGAGATGGCTAGAAGGTTTAGCGGGACACTTTCAAGTTAAGTTCAGCTGCTCCACAGCTACATTTCAGTTGCCCAACATCCAGCCAGCCTGAACGTGAATGGGACATACATGTCGGTCTTCCAACTCTCCTTGAAGTTGAAGAAGGTGTATTGAACCTGAAACGATGTAAAGCATCAAGTCCTGACAGTTTGCCACCTGAAGTTTTTAAAGATGTAGACAGGATATTGGTAATTAGAGTGATGGAGGCACTTGGCAGTCTACAGGAATCATATTTGGTGTCATTGGTCATCCCAGTCTATAAGAAGGGAAAGAAGTCTTTTTTTGACAACTCTATAATCAGGTTGACGAATATTGTGTTCGAGATGTCGGGCTCTATAGTTATCCAAGGCCTAACTACAGACCGAGAACAGCAAGCTAGAGGAAACTAGGCAGGTTTCAGACATGGTTGAGGATGCGTTTATCATATTTAACCCTCTTACAGGTCCTGGAGCACAGCCATACCTACCGGCCAGTGGCCGACACTTGCCATATTTCTTGACCTGGAGATGACATTTGACTCTGTTGACTGTGAGGTGTTGTGTTAGTGTCTGACTGTGAAGGGAGTACCGAGAAAGTATATAAAGTGAATCAAAGCTTTCTACTCGAGCTCGCGCAACCGTGTAAGGGATTATGGAGAGTTGTCATGTGAATTGACAGCAATTAGTGGTGTTTGCTGAAGATGTCCACTGTCACTGTTCCTAATCAACTTCCTTAAAGACAACAATGGAAATAATCTTTGGTACGTCTGACTTCATAGGGATTGACCTCCTCCGTTGAGGTCATCTGGTTGACTTGGGGGTGTGCAGACGGTGACGAAATGCAAGATCTTCTGAAAGTGTTAAGCACAAATTGGAGTATGTTTGGCTGGAATGCGTTTTGCTGTCACCTGTCAAATGTAGGACAATGCTCTACGACTGTGATGTGAGGTTTCATTTTGCCGTTCTGATGTTGGTCCGCTTTGAATGTGTATGTCTGGGATTACTTCTGTACAGATGAATTCTGTTTCCGTTTTGTTTTCTTTTTTGTGTATAAACTTTTTAATTTTTATTGTTTCCATAATGTTTTTTACGGCGCATCTTTTGCAGACCGTACGATATGCATAGTGAAAATGTAACATAAGGGCTGGTGTTCATATCTCAGTGCCGAGGCATAGCATATACAACAGAAAAGCGAATCTAAACCTAGTGTTTTGGTTGTCGTGGTGTTAGTTAACTCCATCCACTTAAATCTATGCTGCCCAGGAATATGAGTGCCCTCATAGCTTGCTTTATATGCATGTACTATGTCTCTCTGTTGTACATTGTTGTTGTGTCATACTAAGTGATAAAAATTTCATAGATAATTTTGACTGATTACTGGCAGAGGGCTTTGGTAGCTCATTTAGGTTACAGTCTGCAGGGCAGGCCAGTTAAACAAAGCTGAAGATGATTGCCGATGAGGCTTGTTACTATTTGGGAGTGACTGTTGAAAACCACAGGTCACTTGGTAGGCAGTTGGTTTTGTATTTCTCACTACTGCAAAGTCGAAATAGGACCTTCACAAGTGGTGGCCAGATCAAGAGGTTCAGAATCGTTCAAAATGGCACTGATATATTCACTTTTTACCATGAAAAATTAGAATACTTTTCATCGGTGCTTTTATTAACTTTTTTACTCCTTTTATACCCTATTTCCTTTATTTCAATATCATACCTCCCCTTTTTATGACGTTGTGAAGCGTAATAGCTTGTTATTAGTTTATATGTAAGGAAATTTCTGTATTAATTATGCCTTTGTGTCTTTTGTGACTCTGCATGAGTGAGAATCTACTGACGAACCTTTCACAATACCAGTGAGGCAGTTTTCGTCATAATTCATCAATTTACTGCTTTCATCAGTAATCGTCTTTATCAAACTGGAATCAAATTCTCATTAGAATTATAAAAATTCCATCTTCAAAAGTTCTACTTAAACTGATCAAATTATAAATATTTTCACTAGTATACCAAGAGCGTTTATAATATCATAATAGTTTGAGTCAACGGGAAATACTGTGTGAAGTAGTTATTCGATCTTACACATATTGAGAAGTGAAATAGCACATAATTTACAACGAATTCCTGTTACTAGTTACCATTTATGGGAACAGCAACTAACATTCAAAGTTAAATCATTGTTATCTTTACACTATACTGCAAATTTTTATTAGAATAGCCAGAAGTGGCAGTGTCAAATGTTGAGTCATTTGTATTTCAACTGATTGAACATATAACCACGATCAATTGCACTACAGATTCGAAGCCATCTTGCATACTTCGATTTGTTTATCTATGTGATGTTATAAGCGTTCACATATTATTGAGTGTTACTGTTAGCCTCGTGCACAAATCCGCTTATGGTTGCAGAATGTAAAAAGAAATCGAAGGTTATCTGAGAAATGTGATGTATTTCCTCAGCACATTTCGAACAATCTGGTCACACATTTACTTGTCAAGGCATTTTTTTATATGAAGGATGAAAATCGGGTGGGATAAGGTAAATAAATTAAGAGAATACAAAATTTGGGAAATATCGGGATAATAAAAAGGAATAATACATTTTTACACTTGCCGTGACATTAAAATGAGATAAAGATTACCATGGTAGATTTAAGGTAAGGACAAATTGCTTTTGAATACACAAAAGGGGGGGTTGAGTTTTCGTATAGCTAAAGGCTTCAATGAACCTAAGTATACGGTCTGGACGGCTCCTATATAATGGTCTACAGGGTGTTTTGGGCCAATCCTGTGACTTGTTTCCGTAATGTGTTTACCCCACAGACGATGACGTCTGCCTGCCTCTTGTATCCATCGAATTATTTGAATGTAATTGTCTTTCTAGCCATCTAGAGATGTCCTCCACCAGCCTTGACTTCATAGTTCGATTACTGCTCTCAGTTTGTGTTCCCACACATGGTATACACATCAAAGGCATTAATTGTTTCTACTCACAGCTGCTTCGTTTTACTGTGAGAATCACTTCTAAATTCTATACAGACATTTTATTTGTAACTTATATTGCTTTTGCATTTGTTTTCCTCTCTTCAGAGTTGGTTTGAATATGATGAAGAAGGTAAATGTGAAGTCAGTATCATGAATATTAAGAGTAAAATAATAAAACTTAAACATTGATAATCAATTTGATTGTATTCCTTTTCGTTATCCACCTACTTTTCATACAATTTCATGTAAAATAAATGGTTTGTAATAAAAAGTTGTCTCGAAGTAATTTATTTGTTGAGTGTATGGATTGCATCAAGACTGATACATTGATCTTGGTGACCAGCAGCGGAATCCAGCACGTGCGTTTTGCCCTATTTGGGACTCGTTTGCTGGATGCACCCCAGTGAAGTGATGTTATTCCCACTGAGGGTTGAACCCAGTGCCATTCGCTTCAAACGCCAGAGCGTTATCCGCTAAGCCACTGGGACACGATAACCACCTCTTGTGCAACGGATATTAGTTGTTGTTTATGGATACTTGTAATTTCCCGTTGTTACATAGCTTTGGACTGCTGGACCTCTGTTAGCAGTTGGGCTCCTATGCAGATGCCTCGATACTGCTGAATATTCTTGGTGTTATATTGAACTTTGTGATTAGAAGAGGAATCCAGGACGCATATTTCGTCCTATTTTTGGGACTCGTCAGCTGGATGTCCCTGCGCCTCAATGAGTGATGTTTTCCCCACTGAGGCTCTAACCCCAGGATCATTATAATATCATGAATATCCAGTAGTATCGAGGGATCCGCTTAGGAGTCTATCTGCTAACACAGGTTGAGCAATTCGACCCTGTATAGCAACCGGCAGTTACAAGTATAATAACACCAAATACTGATACATGTTTGTTTCCTTTCCGTTTCTAAATTGAGCTAGTAATTGTGAAAAAGCTTAGAATTACTACAGTTTATAGCCTTCTCATCAGGTGCTTACAAGTTAATTGATGATTAAATTTTGAGGGGGTTGTGGAGATTTGGAAATATTTCAAGTTGTTATTCATCGAAGACTGACATCAGTTGGAGGAACAAAGGAAACCTGGGAGCACTGGACAGCTGTTTCGTCCTAGTATGGGACTCCTCGTTGGTGACTAGCTTCGAGAAGTATTCCCGAAGTTCCAATGACAAGTCGTGACCGGTGGAGTCAAAGCCTGATGGCCGTGAGGACAAATACTCAACGATGACATTGGGTGGCGGTTTGCGCTATATCGTGAGCTAACAGAAGTTGGAAATATGGAGCATTGGATTCTGACCCAGTGGCTCAATGGTAACGCGCTGGTCGCGGAACCTGAAGGTCGCGGGTTCGATCCCTGCTGGTGGAGTCGTGGGTGCGCACTGCTGAGGAGTCCCATACTAGGACGAAACAGCTGTCCAGTGCTCCCAGGTTTCCTTTGTTCCTCCAACTGATGTCAGTCTTCGATGAATAACAACTTGAAATAATTGATGATTGTTAGCTAAGTGAACTGACTAGCCTCTTGAAAAGTGAAAATATCACACAAAGCCTCGCAGTAGAGTTTAATTCTATGGTTTGTCTACGCTTAGAGAGAATATCATAAACCTGATGTATGATTTAAGGTCAGCATTTCGTGTGTTCATTTTGTTTTGTTAGTTAAACCGTTGCCTGGCGAACTAGCTGAATTTTAAAAAAACACCTTTAGATTTAAACTGAAAGTAAATCAACTTAGTTCTGTGAATAAGGTGATGGTTTCCTCACTAGTTACAAATATCTTATTAGAAGAAAGGAATAGGCGTCATTCTCCAGTATTCAAAATGCATTTCTCCTTTTAACACTGCTTGTGCATGCAGAATATTCAGTGTCCTAACAAACTATGCTATAAGAGCAACAGACAGGTTATAAATAACCGTTTTCAACTCAATCCTGTCTGATATGCATTTTAAGCTCAGGTAGAATATTAAATGGACACAATGCTTTGTGATAGGTTTGTTGACAGTTCCTCTGTTATCTGTCATATCAATCATTGAAACGACTTCCTCATAAAGGGAATTGCCACTTCCATCTATCCCTGTGGATATTGGGTATGCACAGAAACATTGTCTCACGTGTTGACTCTAACACTTTGCAGCATGGTTCAGTAAAGATCAGTGTAGATCATTCAGCACTTCTATTCTACAACATTTAATTCACAATTCCGGAAGATTTGTTTGCCATCGTCTATAAAGTAAAAAATTTAATCTTCTAAGCAGTATGAGCAATGTTTATTTTGTATTGCTAAAGCTCTTACAATACAAACATCGAAACTAGAATTGTACATTCAACAGCAACTTTACCGGTTACTGTTCTTATTCACTTCTTAATTTCTTAAACTTTCTAATTCATAAGGCTAACTAGTTCTTCGGTTTTCCTTTTGTTATTGCTTTATCGTTAGGCGATTTCTGATTCATTTCCATACTGATGACTACTATATGAAGTATTCTTGAGTTCAACCCGTATTTGTTCAGGTTGTTAAGTATTTTTTAAATGTTTCTTAAGTAACTTTCGTTTCTATATTATTTTCCTTATCAAAATCTACCAAGATTTATTGTTTGGCGACACATGTTGATATTTTTACCCTTAAGCGTGTACACTATTTGTAGTTAAATGCTATTGTACAACTTTTGAGAATGTTATCACCTGTAACGAATTCATTCGATGAAATTTCCTTTGTGACTTAAGTTTTCACTCCGCATCAAACTACATTCACAAGTTTACATTTACCTGCTGAAATCAATATAATGAGATGAGGAGACGAATTTCTACTCTTATTTTCAGAACATTCCTAGAAAATTTCGACGCTGTCTGAAAATAAACACCATCTCAATGGTGGTTTAGTTCCTCATCTTTTATTGAACACAGGGTCGTAAAAACTGCCTACTGAATCATCAATTGTCGGTATATTTAATCAGCATCATTAAAATCAACATAGTACCAGGCATTATTGCTCAACAGTCTGAGTTGGCACAGCTCATATCAGTATAAGTAAAAAGGCAGTGAAGTGGAAGATGAATAGAAGAAAATCTAGTCAAAAGAGATATAAAGTACTAAAAGAAAGAAAGCAAGAATGAGATGGTGAGATTAAGTATGGCGTTAAGATGAAGATAATGTGTGTATACATCTGTTCCATTGACATCAGTTCTCAGCCATGTGATCACCTACAGTCTCCAACCACTACCGGTTTCTCTTGTCCCGCGGACCCCAGCCGGCTAGTTTGCATCGCCCTACATGGCTCAAACCAACAGTTGAAGACTTCATACATTGATGCGTGTTCTAGTCTGGACACCTTGGGCCTTTCACCAGCCCCAACCTACTTCGGCCAACATTGTGTGACGAGGTAGATGGCGACTAGGCATGTGTAACACACGTCGAAGCCAACCATCTCAGACGATGAAGGTTCACAACCGTGTCAACTGATTTGCCTCTTCTCCCTAAAACTCTACATCTAACTTCTACGTTACTCACATGGTGACACCACGGAATACAGCCTATACTACGAGGGCAACAGTGGTCAAACACCTGAGACCTCATGTCTTCCACCTTCAATGGTTATGTTTGACAGTCATACAGTAGGACAGACCAGACTGCTGTGCAGGCGCAGTACACGCGACCCTTAATAGACAATCGGATATCACGACGGCCCCATAGGTGGCGTAAGTTGGTGAAAGCCAGTCGAACCTTTTGTATGCGTGCAGAGATTTCATCGACCACTGAGCCACCAGGGCAGGGCTGATCCTACTTCCCAGGTAAGTGTATTGGTCGACACACTCAATCACTACACTCTCTATTGTTAGCTATGGCACCGTTGAAGACCAATCATGGAGCAACAGTTTACATTTGGGTGGTGAGAAACGCATCCCAAACATTCTCAAATTCCCACTCAGTGTTCAGAAGACTACATCTTGTCAGCGTCTTCACCCAACAGGACTGTCATCTGCATATTCTAGGTCTGACGATAATTCTCCCGCGATTACGTCAACCTCTGTGTAGTCAGGTGACGAGAGGGAGACCTCCATAAGAATATCTATGATAAAATTGAATAAGAATGGAGAAAGTGGACACCCTTGATGGATACCACTCGACGAGCATAACTCCCTGGACATCTCACCATAGGCTTTAACACGCCCGCAAGTGTTCGAGTAGAGAGCCTTCAATAAAGTGATATATTTACTCGGCACGCCTTTCACTGACAGGCATTGCCACAAGACTTCTCGATCAGTATATTTACTGTTTAATGTAATTTCTAATGGCTATCTCAATGCAAAGTTCTAAACTTTAGTAGGCAGAAAGACATGATGTAACAACTTTCAGTTACCTTGAGAACAAATTTTACTACCCATATTTGTAATAATGATGATCTGAATTGATTAGCTTCAACTCACTTTCATCCCCTTCGTTTTCGTTTCCTGTTTATACTTATTTAAGGCATGTAATTGAACACCACCTTGACGAAAATTGTAGGACGACCACAATGTTTCCTTGTATAAACTCTAATTTTGCTGACTGTGCTGCAATCTAAATGTTTGCTTCAAACTACCTTGTTCTTATATGATAAATTGTGGAACTAATGATGAATAACGGATAGCAGTGGAATTCAGGATGGACGTTTCATCCTACTTGGGACTCCTAAGCTGCATGTACCTGCACCCCAGTGAGTGTTGTTCTCACCAGGATTCGAGCTCAGGACAAACAGGTTTAAACCTCAGATCGTTATCCATTGTACCGTTAAGTTACGATAGCCACTCTTTGTGCAAGGGGTGTAATATAGTTAATGATGTTATAGTTTGAGTTCGAGTCTGATTAGGGTTTACATCACTCACTGGGGGGCAGATACATCCACCTGACTTGTCTCAAATAGGATGGAACTCGTGTCTTGGAATCCACTACTGGCAGTATCGAGACATCCACATAGGAGTTCATATGCCGATGGTGGCCAGTTCAGTCAACGATCGAAATTCACAAGCTGTTACACCAAAATTGTGGAATTTCTTCTAAATTATTTTGAGCTTTTAACAGTTAACCTATATTTACCAGTATGTAGCTGAAGAGAAAGCAATTACATATATCATAATTATATCGTATTCTGAAAAATTGTTGTTTTAACTGTATAAAAGTTGGTTAAGTAATCCAGATGTCTTAAAATCTAAGGGTTACATCTGTTGTATTTGTACGCAGAAGAAGGGAGAGCAACAACCACTCAGTGACGAGTATCCTTAACATGTCTATTTCTCTTCCTCATTCATTAACATCCTATTTATGTCTTCTACATTTTAAGTTATTGTGCATTTTCTATATACTTTGCTAAATTCAATATCA